ATGCTGAGCCTTTCCTCGTTGCAGATTCCACCAACGAGTATCTTCGATGGTGTTAATCTATACCTGGAAAAGGAGAAAGTGAAATTTCTCTTTGGTGCGGCTGCATTGTTCAGTAGTAAGCGGCCTACTCATTCAGCTGGCATCGCAGCCCAGGGCGTTGCAAGGATCGTATCTGAACCAGACTTTCCTCTTTGTGAGTTCTTTACTCCCGGGCGATCTTTCAACGTTTGCCTTCGCCACGCCACTCTTAAATCCATAGATGATGCGATGCTGGATTTCATGGGCGCCTCAATAAGATTTGCTGATAGTGATAAGGAAGACAGTCCCTTGGATATTATCATGTCCACAGGGAGGACAGCCGTCTTGACCAATGTACCGTCGATTCATGACGCACTTAAAGCTAATCGAAGCGGTAACTTGAAAGAGTTCTACATGGGTAGTCCTGATCGGTAAGACGATAAGCTTATTTTTCATTAAAAAGAGACAACTTAAGACTTCAAGAAACGTTTAATAAGATTTTTGGTCTCAGGTTTAACTTGTATACTTGTTCTCTACAACTGCCATAGAACCGGCAGACACAGTGGGCTAACTGGACACTTAGGCTAATCTATATAACCTACATCGAATCTAAATACGTAACTACAGTAAGGGAGCCTGTTGGCAACACCTTTGTGGGATACCAAGACCAGTGATAAGGTAAGCCTCCCCTCTATCCTCTCATCTTCTCAGATTTCCCTATCTAAGCTAGTACCAATCTGTAAGTTCGTCTTGCTTGGCTGTAATGCATTTTGAATGGGTGAAATTAGAGTTAAATTTCTAGATGAAAATATTTAAACGACTTCATTGGCTTGTGGCTACAACCCAGGGAGCCGGGATCAGTAATTTCAGTTATAGGAAAACGTTGGCCTTTGGGTGCGGAGAATTTTACAACCTTACCAGTGAGCGCTAGACAGGGAATGCGGAATTTACATTGACTGGTGCCATTGTTGAATGTCCCTGACACACAAAAATCTTTGAAAAGCGTCGGGATAGCTCTAAACTGGGCGATTTTTACTCGTGATCTGGAGTAAGGCGCTAAAGGCGTCCATCCCCGAAGATATTCGTGTAAGGAAAAATACTGTACTTCACAGCTTCCTTCTTTTGTTTTTTCAATAATAGACTAGCTAGTAACTTAGACGGTCTGCGCCGTGCACCAAATTCATTTTACGACCAGCGGTATTACACGGGATTAATCTTGGGCTTCAAAGCGTTTGATGGTATTGAGCGTTATGCCAGATTTCGACTGATTCCAGCGGACGGGTCTGTGGAAACCGGTTTGCTGTCAGAAGATGATCAAAGAAATGTTTGGTAAGTTTATATATCCGCCACAGACATTCTTTCTCTTTTGACTACACGTATGAAGTCACACTCTTAAAAATGCGTTCTTTCACACGGGCCCTGATCGTTTACAAACATAGTTCATGGTTTGTATTTTCTACGGTAAGCCGTTAAATCCTTACCTTTAAGTGTGAAGACAGACCACGGGCGGACGATTACTGTCAAACTCAGAAAACAGTGAACAGCTGATAAATTTTAGGAATGTTTATCGTGTAGTGACCAATCCCAATAAAGTTCTAGCCTGAGATCATGCCCTCTCCCTATTATCCCTTTATGTCTCTCACGGGAAGAGGGCGTTATTTTTTTTCCCTCTCGAGCCAAAGAAGCAAAGAAGCAAAAAATAATAATAATAACGCCTGATCTCAGGTTAATAAAGTTCAGGACACGCCAGCAAACCACAAAACCGTCATAAACTAATTACCGTTGCTGTTTGCCGTATTGGCTTTCTCCTCGCAGCAAAATAACTTTCCATAAATATTTCTGCTGTTCACGGTTTTGTGAGTTTCACAGTAAATCCATCCATTCAATTAATTCATTTGATTGATACAGGGAATTAGGAAACATATTTAACAATTTTTAACAATTTATCCAAGCAAACCTTTTCGGATAAATGTTTCCAGAATTAACATGCAAAATTGCTCCGTTAGTCCTTGAGACCCATCGCGAGAAGGTCGATTCGAACTTTCTTAAAATGTTCTTATGACTTTCTTTGTTGAAGGGAGTACAAGAGACTCCCATCGGAGAATAGAGCAAAAGATTATCTGAAGGAAGAGTTCAAAGAGAGAGTTTCTCGCGGACTAATCAAGTACAAGCTTCAATTGGCGCTCCACGAGGCTCAATCATCCGACCCACCAGACATCCTGAATATCGGGAGATACTGGAACGAGGCTACCCATCCCTGGTTAGACCTTGCTGACGTCACACTGACTGCTCTCCTTCCCCCGAATGTCTCCGAGAGGTTCATGTTTAACGTCGGTAACCTACCCGACTCACTTTACTTGCTACCAGCTCACGGTATTCACCATTCTAACTGCATAGCTCACATAAGAAATGAGGTATACGCAAGGACCCAGAGAATTCGATTGGCAAGGAGTTCAAAGGTTGAGCCAGATCACGTGGCCACATACATTATCAGCGTGGAGACTGGTTCCCAGTTAAGAGCAGGAACTAATGCGAATATTTCTATATCGCTTACAGGTATATAATTCATTTGCTCTCAACGTACCTTAAAAGTAATTCATGTTTACCCTGTACATCGCCCTTTTACGACATCTAGCTTGGCCATCGTTCTGGATGACATCATGGAAAAGAAAAGCGATCACGCATAATATAATATATAAATATATATATATATATATATACATATCATGTTCTGTATCTCATCACACAAAAGTTTAAACTACACGATAAGGTTACAAAGTGTTTTGAAGTTCACATCCAGTGTCGTCACCTTATAGCAGGGAGAAGGTGTGATTTAGATTACACAAGTGTACTTGTCTTAGCACTGTTTGGTAAGTAGGATGCCAAATGATCTAAAAACTAAAAGTAGTATGTTAGAGTACATGGTATTCTATAATCTGAATACTATGCAGTATTATTATTGAAAATAAAGAACCGCTGTATAGGAGAATTTTACTTTTTCGTAGGTGTACGGTAAGCCTAGCTTCTATTTTCAGTTTTTGTTTTCAAAGAATTTTCACCAGAATTCAGCAACTTCGTGTTGTACGCTTGCTCTTGCTACATATATACATGACATTTTTTTTGCGAATGTTAACTTTTCCCAACAAGCACATTTCAAATTTCTGAAATTGCACAACGTTTTAGGAACCAGAGGGAAAACAGAGAGGCTTTGTTTAAAATCTTGGAGCAATGACTTTGAAGCTGGGCACACAGATGAGTACGCCGTGGAAGCCATGGATGTTGGAGAGGTTCTGATGATCCATCTTTACAACGATGGTGCACATTCGTGGTACAAGAATCCTGACTGGTTCGTTAACAAGATCACTGTAACGAGCTCAAAGCAGCCGATAGCCTTTGAATTTCCTTGTTATCGCTGGGTGGTATCCGACATGACTGTTATTCAAGGAAAAGGTACTATCCAAAAAATGCCACACCCTTTAAAGGATCATTTATATCTGTTCATTAGTTTAGAAACTAAATGTAAAAATATCGTAAGGGAATTAGCACCCGGGGAACTTACTTTATGAGTCGAGAGGATGGCGCTTTTATCGTTCTCGAATTTCAGCCTCAATGTGATCTTTGCTTCATTACAATTTAACTGCGAAATAAAACGCGACTAAACAGGAAAACTGTAAGATGTCCTTCTGATAAGTAGATATAAAAGTTTGTGTACGTGGTACATACAGCTTTGATTGGCTTTCAACGTCCTGTTGTTATCTATCCTCAAGCACTGACTGTCGTCATAGAAGCCACTTCTTTAACTTGAATCATTCTCCGGTGATTGCAGTACATTAAGTTCTAGTTACTCCTTTTTGGGGGCAGAAATCTTATTAACTTGCGAAGAATAGATTAACACCGACGACGTCATAACCTCTTTCTCGAGCCCAGGTCTCGGTAAGCGATCCCTGCTATATACGTCTCTACAAAGAGGTGAAGGCGGTGGCGCAAATTCCATTTTTAGAAGCACAACACTATTTAGATCGAATCACCGCAGTAAACGTATTCAGCATTCCCTTGATTAATGAAAGAGTCACGTATTGAAAGCACATGTCTCATTGTAAGAGTAGGAATCGTTTATAAATTCTTTTCTAGTTTAACTTTTTGTCCTTCCCAGCTCTTCTTCCATTTCAAGACCAACCAGAAGCCATAAGGTGCCAGCGAGTTCTTGAGGTACAGCAACGAAAAGAGCAGTATCTTTGGGGACAACTTCCCCCTGGTATAAATGATTTGCCAGGTTTTATTCACGCCCCTAAACATGCTGATCTACCTCGAGATGCACAGTTCTCGGACGAAGAATCCCGTTCATTTAAGCATGGTAGTATTCGCGGGCTTGTGAATCTTGGTCTTTCCTATCTTCTCACTCTTTTCGAGAGCTGGGACAGCCTCGATTGCTTTAAGAATATCTTCACCGGCTGGACAGGCGATGTACCTCGCATTTCTCAGAATGATCTGTGGATGGAGGACAGAATTTTTGGCCAACAGTTCCTCAGTGGCTGCAACCCATGCGTTATTGAACGGTGCAAAGAATTGCCAAGCCACTTCCCGGTCACAGATGAAATGGTAAAAAACTTCCTCGACCGAGGAATGACATTGATTGAAGAAATAAAGGTATGGAATAGGTTGCGAGGGCCAGCTCTCTAATTTTACTAAATTACCGCCCAGCTGTGTAAAAAAAATCTCACAACAACAGAACTATCTTCAGTTAACTTGAAAAGGTGGCTATCCTTTCACTGTCTTGAAAAAGAATGTGTTTGACCCTTCCCCTTTAATTAACGGTGAAAGTAGACTAGGCATCCTCGGACACGCAGGGCGAAAGGTTTCGTTCACGCTGACGACTTTCTCCCATGAAAATGCCATGGTGCCTACAAGGTGCCTCTGAGTCCCCAAGGATGGTCAATTAGTAGGTTCCATTGTCACGGATCCCTGACTGCTTCAGTGACCAACTAACAAAAAATAGCATCCAGTTGATGATCAGGCTGTATCCATAATATATTGTGACATTATAGACACCTAACCCTGTACCATGATAACTCGATCTCTCCCTCTCTCTCTCTGCTTTTACTCAGGCAGGTCATGTTTACATTGTTGACTACAAGGAACTCGAGGGAATCAAACGCAATGGTGAGGACAACAACTCTAATTTATGTTACACTGCAGAACCACTTTGTCTTTTTTACGTGAAAAGCTCAGGGGACCTGGTACCTATTGCCATTCAACTTTTCCAAGAACCTTCCGACACTAACCCAATATGGACCCCTGAAGATACACATTGTGATTGGATGCTGGCAAAAATGTGGTTTCGCAACGCTGACCATCAAGTACATCAGGTCAGTAATAGAAAAGTGAGGATATATGAGTAACATGCCAGTCATATTGAAACAAACATTTTCGAAAATTATCATTGAATGTTTGGTGTATTATATTAAAATGTGTTATTAAGAGAGTTTGGCTATTTCACTTGTATATATTGTGACCAAATAGTTTCCCGAACGAAGAAAAAAAAACAAGGCAAACAAGGCAGGTATAATTTTGCTAGCATGGCTATTTACTGTCATACATTGAATCGAGAGATCATTAAGCCTTCCAAATCATTCCTTATGCAGATGCTGCTTTATCCCCATAAATAATAGAGCATACTGATAGGTTGTAAGTTTTGCATATTTTCTTTTTTTTTTTTTACAGATGGGAACTCATTTAACGAGAACCCATTTGCTGATGGAGGCGTTTGCTGTTGCGTCTTGGCGCCAGTTGCCCTCGATCCACCCAATATTCCAGCTTTTGTTTCCCCACCTTCGTTCAGTTATGGCAATCAACACCATCGGAAGAAATGAACTGGTTGCAGAGGGAGGCATTGTTGACAAAACTCTCAGCCTTGGGGGCGGAGGTCATATTCAGCTCCTAGAAAAGACTTACAGGAATTTTAAGTTTGAGATGCTTTCTTTACCTGACATGTTAAAGAAAAGAGGTGTGGACGATGCTGAAAAGTTGCCTAACTATTTCTACAGGTTAGCTTCAGGTTGATTTAAAATGTGATTATGCGATTATTTTTATGGATGTGTAACAATTTGTAACGTTTGTCATGAAGAGGAAATTAAAAAATCAAAGGCTGTGTTACTAAAGACCTCAGGGCTATTTTGGTGTAATTTTGGGAAGAATTTACGGGCAACAACAACAACAACACTGCCAACAACAACAAACAGTCTGCAAGGCTTTGTGTTGCCAGAGAGATATTCACCTTGTAAAGTTTCGTTTATATGTTGCACAAATTAAAAAAAGTACACTCAATACATGCTTCAAGTTCAATCTCTAATGAATACTTATGAAAATCACCTTGTCGTTGATGTCCAAAGCTACCAACGTTGTTTTAGTAGACAATCGTATTGCAATGATTAAAGGAAATTTTCAAGTAAATTTTCAACATTTGCTTAGATAATGGTACCCTGGGTGCCAGAGACTTTTCTAGCGCGGTTTCCGGTTTCTGTCAAGTCTTTATAGTGACCCGCGCGGCCAACACCGAAGATTCTCACCACACGCGAGAAAACCCTCTGGTACCCAGGGTAAGATAATGGATAGAGATACATTAATTTCGAGCTGCATATAAATACCCAAGCAGACAGCTGTGGGCAATACCCAATAAAACGCCTTTTAGTGTCTTTTGCCTTTTTCACGTCTGTGCTAATTTGATTCTCCTGGCTGTACCTTATCAATTCCTTATAGGGATGACAGACTTCTTATGTGGAAAGCCATCTCTGATTTCATAGAGGAATTTGTCACCATTTTCTATCAGTCAGATGAAGATGTTTCCAGGGATAACGAGCTGCGGGCCTGGTTGGTTGACATCCACGAAAATGGTTTCCCTGTGAGAGAAGGTGACGTTGATCACGAGTTTCCCATGAGCCTGCAGACACGTGATCAGCTTGTTCACTTGCTGACCTGTATAGTATTCGGGTGCTCATGTCAACATGCAGCTGTGAACTTTCCTCAGATGGAAATCACAGCGTTTGTTCCAAATGTGCCGCCTGTGATGCGCCTTCCACCACCCACGAGGAAAAACCAGGCTACCATGAAGACCATTATGGATACACTGCCTAATAAGTGCCAGTCAGGTTGGCATATTGCAACCGTATATACTCTGACGAGACTAGCGGAAAACGAGGTAAAATAACATTGAAAGTGTAGTAGTATATAGGGACCAAATAAGCTGTTTTCGGGAAAGGGACTTTATAACAGAAGGCTAAAGGTCGAATATTACATCTCTTCATCATAACTCATTGATTTCATGTTCTATTTTTGTATCGTGGTTAGTATAATCGGTATAACTGCATGGTTCGATAGGTTATGCGATATTTTAAGATGGATGGCATATAACATCACTCGCACATCTCCCATTATGCACCTTAATTTGCTCCCCCAAATTTTGCATAACCTTTGTTTTGGATTTCCCCTTGGTATTCAAGCCGTCCCAAGAGAAATTGAAAACAATGCTTATGCAAAATTGAAGGGAGGGGGACAAATAAGGTGCATTATGGAAGATGTGCAAGTGGCGTATTATGGAGATTATGATTGGCTAAATAACTTTTAAAAGTGCTCATTTGTTGATGTATTTTGAAAAGTTGACGTCAACGAAGCTGTACCGTGGACAATAAATGCAACTGGAAGAAAACACGTTAAATTATGCTGCGGTTCAGTGATTGCCAATGCATTCTTGATAATTGTAGTTTCTTTCTCTTTGCCGGCAGCGTTTCATTGGAGATTACTCCCAAAGCCCTTTAACAGGAAGAGAAGTGGAAGGTGCTATCGCTCGTTTCCAGTCTTCTCTCCAGAGGATTTCTGACGCAATCAAGGAACGCAATGCATTAGTGGAATTTCCTTACACTTACTTGTTACCGGAGAGAGTTCCCAACAGTATCGCGATTTGAAAGCAAGACGAAGATAACTTTTTAGTAAATTTATTAGTTAATCAAAGACTTTCTGAAGGTGTGTGTTCAGAAACTCATGAGGGGTCGAGTTCTGGTATGTTTCATGTTGAAGTGTAAAATCATTTAGTTCCAATTGACTTGTTGAACAAGGTAGGGTTGGACTCGACCACATAAACACGTGAATCGAATAAGAAGTTTTAAATTTCTCTCAGGATTGGATCAGGTCTTGTGTACAGTATCAAACACGCTGGTTTGATGTGTGTAGAGATATCATCTCTGCATCTCTCGATCTGCTTACTTTTCAATAAAATGTATCGCCGAAAATCGCTTTTAAGTTGTTGTTTGAGTAGCGGATTGATAAAACTAGAGAAAAGCTTGTTCTAGGCTCTCAATTGAGACGTGCGAAAGACAAAGAGCAAGCTCCAGAATAAAGTGAGGAGGAGTTAGGGAGACATCCCTGTCGTTTCTTTTCAACCGCTCAAAGGACTAGGCCAAACGTCGAACTTTTCATGAGACGAATCAACGTCTAATTTGGGTCTACCTAAATTAAGTTGGGTCAGGCGTCGAACTTCGGACGTGTCGAAAAGTTCGACGTTTGGCCTAGGCCTAAGAGCCTGGAACAGGTTAATGACGGCAACAACCTACCATCCGATTCTGATATTTCCCCACCATTTTCCTGGTTTACGTTGTGAGAATTTAGTTGAATCCTATTAGTTGAGGTATTAGCTCTTTGTCCTTTTAACGATAACTCGAACTTTTTTCCTGAATTTCCCTTGAAGGTTCCAGATATCTGGGAGTCTCCAGACTGTAGTTTAATATCCCGTTTGTTTCGCAAAATGATCTTTTATAAACAAATGATAGTCTACATCAAAGATAAATGTACTACAGACACGACACAGGTTCAGTTTTGTTTCTTTATTTCCGAAGAAGACAATTCTGTAGCTAATCAACAGAAATTTACAGTTCACAAGGAAAACGGTTTTGTTTTACATGATTTGCACTATACTGTTCATTTCGCCGTTTCCGCAAAAGTGAAATGAACATACAGCCTAACTGCTGCTTAACTAGTGGTAGCAAATTCCTCTTTTGATGATACTTCCAGATTTCACATTCCGAGATAACAATTGTCTAGTATTGAGTTATATACATCGAATTTTCCTAGACATCTCTGGCTTTTACTTTCTAACGTTTCACTTTAGCCTTATTTACTGCTATAAATTGAAAGAAATAGCGGGGTGGGGGTGGGAGGAGGGGGGGAGAAATCAGATCTTCTACACACTTTACAAATCAGTAATGTGCGACAGGTAGTTTACAAGACGCCAATAATTTCGAAAGCAAAGTGTTTTTACGACGGAGGTCAAAGTTTCGTCAAATACAGTAGTATTACTGAAAAGGTGACACCAGAACTAGCTAAGCACGAATGACGATGTCTTCGCTTTATAAGACAACACCAAGCCTTTTTTACGCAGATAAATCTCCAGCACCAAACTTGAGTTCGTCATAAGCCTCAGCCTTGATAACTCGTCCTCCAAACCATCTTCCATTGAGGGCACTTGCTGCCTTTTCCGTTTCTGTAAACAAAGAAAATAGGCAATCAATACCACAGTACCCACCGATCATACAGTAAGTAGGCAAGCAAGGATAGAAGGCAGCAGCAGCACCACCACCACCATCACCAGTGGTCACTTACTAAAGACACGGAAATTAAACCTCAAAGTCCACGTACTGAGCGTTTGCCGTTTCGCGATGACAGTTAATTGGTACAAGAGCATTAAATCTGGGTTTGGCCTGAAATTTTGGAAATTGTTTGAAATTTCTTTTAGTTTGGCGCAAGTATTAGAAAACCCTTGTTAGTTAGTCTTTTTGGGGCGGGGTCCTTCTCTTTGTCACAATATTTTTATCTTGATTTACCTCTATTAAGGGGTCAGTTGGATAAAAGGAGACTTCACTGAATACTAATACATTAGGATCAGTGATACCAGATCACTCAGTTCAGAGCATATCAAACGAGCCAACGAATCCATCCTGGGAAAGGATTAATTGGCTCATTTCACGTACTATGCTCATCATACAAATGGCACAGTTTCGAGTCTTACCTGCGGGTTGAGTAAATTCCACAAAGATTTTGACAATGACCTCAGCGTCGTCTTCTTCGCCTTGTTTTTCGTTATAAATAACAACTCTGTTCACCATGCCAAACTTGCTGCACTCATCTGTAACTTCATGCTCAAGGTCCTCATCTAAATCTTCAACTCCGACCATGTTACGTAGAACAAGCACTTTGGACTGAAAACCAAAGCCAACAATATCATTTACAGTCACAAATGTATAACTATTAAGGTAGGTAGTAATCGGGCTTGAAAGACCAAGACAATAGGCCATTTGAGAGATGACTTGCCTAGTCCCTGCACAGCGTTTTCCCAGGCCTTCTCGGTCAATTCACTTCAGTGACGTATCGCAGGAGAACGGGTCACTTCTTTTCTTGGACCACGTGCCCCCAAACGAATTGGCCGCGCGGAATAAAAGAGACCTAGGGACTATGCAGCGAGAAGACGTCACTCTACTACTACAGCATGACCAGAATCCTTTAGAGTTGTGCTTTCTTGTGCAAATTAGGGCTTTTGTTATTATGGGATTACCAAATTTCACTTTTCAAAGGAAATACGAAATGACGACATCGTGCAAATGGCCGATTTAAAACTGCTTTTACATCCTACGATCTCTTATTTATCTGCAGATCCTATTTGACCTAAATTAAAGTTGGACTTCGCTTCTAAGTTCTTTATTACCGTATGAGTACAGTTAAGGGGCCGCTCTCAAGCAGACACCCTCGGGAAACGGAAAGTGTCCGCCGCAAATGGAGCTGTTCGGGTTTGGAAATGGTTTGTGTGTGTACAGAGAGTTTAAACCGGGTTTGGTCAAGTCGAACGTCTGTAGAGCTGTATGGATAGGAGAGTGAAAGGTCTAAGCGCCCTCTTCTCACCTCAGTTTTGCGCGATAGTTTCTGCATAACCATGTATCTTGCATTGCTGCCTGATATTGACATGTTTTCTTCGTGACTGATGCTACTCTCAGCGATTTTCTTCTGTGTTTCTTCCTCAATCTTGGCGCGCACTTCAGCCTGCTGTGCTGCAATGACCTGCGCAGACTGTTGCTGCTGCTGTAGCTGCTGTTGTTGTAACTGCTGTGTTAATTGCTGTTGCTGAAGCTGCTGCTGTTGAAGTTGTTGCTGTTGAAGCTGTAACTGTTGAACTGCTGCAGGTTGTACGGGTACAGCTGTATTGGTCATCACATGTGTGGCGGGAATTGGTGCTACAACTGCTGTTGGTGTTCCTGTTCAATTATAATGAGTGAGTAAACGCTAAAGGGACTAGAATCCCCAACAAAACTAGCAGCACTTAATGAAAATACAAAAAACCTTTAAGCGTAAAATGGGGAGAGACAAGGGCTACTTAAGCCCCTACATAAGACAGACAAAGGAGAAAATGCCAAGTAGGGGTACTGTTGCATGTCAATTTTAGCCTGCATAACAGGCGTTATTTTTTTGCCTTCTCATGCCTGAAAAACGCCAAAAAATAACGCCTGTTATGCAGGCTAAAAAATCAGACTAAGCAATCCACATTGTATGTATATTAGCCCTAATAACATAATTCAGTCGTATGTAACAGGATGGCAACATTGGTTAGGGCTGGGATTATCACTGTTAACAGTCTAAACTACTGCACATGCTGGCAACAAAAAGTCGCTCAAACATTTACCTGCCAACAAAGCAGTAGATGTCATGATTGGTTGTGCTGCGATACTGGTTGACATGACACCAGGTGCCAGCGTTCCTGCTGCCATTGTTGGAAGAGCCACCAGGCCTGCTGTTCCAACAATAGATGTAATGACTGTGCTTCCTCCAGCAAGAGTAATGGCTGGAACTGGAATACAAACACAGACATAATACAGTTAACATGTTAAACACATGTATTTTATATATGCATTGAACCAATTTTCTTAATATTATGATTGCTTAATTTTGGAACATAGTCACTTGAAAATGCCCTGGATGCATTTGCAAGCAGGAATGGGAACAAGCACAACTATATACCCTTTCACCTTGTATAATCACCAAACAAATTACAGTCTTCAAATGGAATAATTAAAACCAGTAAAATCAAACCAAGAATCTCGGTGTAAAATGGCTTCAAAACCTTCTTTCCATTTTCAACACTTTTGAACAATATATAATATTAAATATTTCAAATGCTACCAAAACAAAACTTTCAACAGACCACATGAATCTTGATGATTGTTGCAATCACTCTACCATGCCAGGAAAGACTACAAAGCCTACCTTAGAGTCGATTAGAGTCTTAATCACGCATACAATGTATGTCTAACACCATATAGGATTGAATGACTCTTAGTAACTTTAAGAGCAAGTGAACTTTCTATTAGTATAAAGCAGTATTCTTAGTAATTAGTTCAACTGCACTAGAATTATGAGAAAAAACAGTAACCCTTACAAGTGCTTGCCAGGCCCTGTTCTTGTGCTTGTATCTTTGCAGACACTGCAGCTGCAGCCAAAGCAGCTGCTGGTGGCAATGTTCCATTACTGGTCTGCGCTGACGCTGGCGGTGTTATAGCTCTTCCAACTCTCAGGTACTGCCCTCCAAGGTCAAAAAGGTTCATTGATGCAATAGCATCTGTTGCAGACTGCTGGTTTTCATATTCCAAGAAGCCATAACCCTTGTGTTTTCCGGGCATTGTGTCTGGAGCCAGTGTACAGCTTTGTACTCGACCAAATGCTTCAAATACACTAAGGTGTAGATAGAACAAGGATGCATGAGACCTGCCTAAAATTGTTATTACTGTTCAAGCAGACTATGGGTGAGTAAAAGATTTAGCTGAGAAGGCAAAAGGATAGGGGAATTGAGAAATAGTATTATTATTTTCTTTTCCTTGGTTTAAAAGATATATTCTCCTACAGAGCAATAATCCATGATTTCACATGTTTCACTCGCTTGATTTTAGAAGAATTAATTGACTGCAGGGCATATAACCTACATGCAAAAGCTGACACACAAGTTAGAATGATATAACATTAATATTGTAAAGCAGGAAGCAAGAATGTGGCTAGTGCTACTAGCCCTAACAAGAAAATTACTATCAGCTTAATCACCTTTTGATGTCCTCTTCACCCAAGTCTGGGTGAACTGAAGCAATGTAAATTCTGGCATACTTCTTAGCTTCCTGCTCAAACTGTTCAATTAGTGGTGCCGCTTGTGGTACATTGCTTGGGCGACCAACCTTTTATGACAAAGAAAACAACGTGTCCACCAAAAAATATCAACACAGTAAGGATTTCAAATATCTTGTGGTTAAATATTTTCCCAAAAGACGTAATATTGACCTACACACTTTTAAGGGCAAAATGAAATAACACAAAAAGTGCACTCACTCATAAAAGAATAGAACTCAAAAAATTAGCTGTAAAGTGCAGTGGGTGGCACAACAAAATAACATACTGATGAGCTGCATTAAAAGATTTAGGTACGGATAAGCACAAACTACCAAATGTTAGAGTTTTTGCAAGCAATGGCTATCAAAGACTACATAGTACAAGGGTAGGGCAGGGCCGTTGACTGTGGATGAGGTGCACTGAACTTACATACAGTTGTACTATAAGTTATACAATGTATTTCCAGCCAGCAGACATTAAAACTAGTGATAACACACCTTGATGTTTCTTCCACCAAGGAGTACACCATTCATTTGTTCAAGGGCAAGTTGTGCTGCTTCAGGTAAATCATATTCTACAAATGCAAATCCCTGTAATATTATACGACACAAGAAAGCAGTTAGTAAAGATGGCTACAAAAGGAATGATGTCCATCGCTTTCAAGATAAGTGACCCAGAATTAGGGGCAGCTGGTACAGTATTCTCCCTAAATTTTAGCTCAGCAGGTAAGGGACCATTCATGGCCAGTAAGGCAAAAAATATGTGCCACAGGCTGCACACTTTCCTGGGGGAGGCAGGGGATAGTGGAGAGAGGGACATGGACCCATCCTCGCTGGGACATTTAGGAGCTAAGTTCTGAAACGTCATTCCCTCATTTTAAGACCTCTCTTAAAACTCCGAAAATTACCCCCTCCTTGTATAAGTCCCTCCAAATATAAGGCCCCCTCTGATTCTTTGGTAAAAGATGACTAAAACAAGCCACCTGCTTTGAAACTAAATCTGACAACCCTCCTAATAGGTTAATAATCATGACATTTCCCACCTTGTGCTTCATTGTCAATGGGTCCCATGACAGGTCAATTTTCTTTATTGGACCAAAAGGAATGAAGGCTTGTCGAACGTGTTCTTCACGTAGCTCAAAGTTAATGCTTCCAACATAGACCCTGCAAACAAGCAAAACAAGTAACATGTATTGACCATGCAAGATAGCACTCCAGTTACTGGGAAATGTAGTGATTGGGGGAATACAATGATTTAGCAACAAATGTTAAGTTCCCAGAAAGAATGACAACAAACTTGCACAAGTACAAAAGCAGATGGTATTGCTTATAAAAACAATATTTGGAAGCACACAGGTGTACTGCAGGGATGCAGCTTAAATTTATAATAGATAGGAAATGGCATTTGATTTGATGAAGATTACATCATTCTACAATGTGCATGCTACAATTTCTTTAACTTTGCTCCCCTAGAAGTAAGAAGATAACTCAGCTGTTTATTCTTAACAAGGTTAGCTATTTGAGGATTTTAATAATTATGTAAATGGTTAAAAAACAAAATAACTTATAAAAAGTGTATTTTACCTGCACATAAGAGCTAATGCTCTCTGCCTCTGAGCAGCTGTTTGCAAGGCAGACATCTGTTGCTGCTGAAGTGCTTGTTGTTTTGCCAGCACCTTAAAACACAACAAAACACATCAGAACAAAATGCACTTAAAGAGTCAGCATTTATTTATGAGTCATGATCTTTACATTTTATGGAACACAAGTTGTAAATGGTGAGTGTGGCAGAGGAAGACTGATTAACTAGTTGAAGACATTGGTGTTTAAGAGAAAGACTGTCACCCATGATGCAATGGCAGACAAAGACATCTGTGATCAAGCAGTGTTTAACCAAGCTTAATTTGATGATTAGTGAGAAAAACAGCATGTAGTATTTCTGGATACCTGTTGAACAGACTGCTCCATAGCAAACCGCTTGGCTTTCTTCAGCATCTCTTCTTGTTGATAGGTAAGAGGGGGCAATGCCCTTTTCACTTCTGAAGGGCGTGGTTGCATTCCACCTGCTCCTGGTCCAATGACAAGCTCACCTTTAGAACCATCATCCACAGGCTGGTCTTCTACATCTCCATTCACTTCACTGGCTGCTGAAGAATCTGTGAAGTAGAACAAAGTATTAATTACACAGAAAAGATGCTACATTACAGTTCAACATGGACACTTCACAATCCAGAATAAAAAATGTAAAATATTAATGATCAGAAATCAGAATCTTTTCCTGGAGTAGATTTTGTTGCCATTTTGAGCAGGTTACTCTCAACAATTATTTTAAATCTTACCGACAGGCCAGGTGCAAGAAAATCACAAAAGATTTTCAAAAAAATTGGAAATTGAAAAAATCCTAAACTTTTTCACAGTGTGGATATGCAGATAACTGTTCCAATGCTGAGTTTGAACCGTATAAAGAAAACAAGCAGGCAGCAGATGATTACAAATGTAAATTGTTTGTGTTCAGCGGTATGATATCCAAGATGTAAAGTGACTTCTACGCAAGTCAATTTTGATCAAAACAGTGTCCGCATGTGGACTTGTAGCAAAACATCAGGCGCCTGGTAGCAAATTCCAATTTATATTCAGGCAACTTGCAAAGGCTCGAAATAGATCTTCTCATACAAAGTTATGTAGATCACCTGTGGCTCAATTCAGGGTGAAACATTTGTTTTTGATCAAGATGTAGCATGTGGAAAGGACAATCCTGAGACAATGTGTTAAGTCAGGACATTTTCTAGTTGTTTGTATGCTTGTTTCTTTCTTTGTTTATTATTTCTTTTAATCAGAATCATTATTTACAAAAACGTGAATACACCCTTGCACCATAGAATTCAAATCAGCAAAACAGAAAAAACAAAACACAAGAAAATACTGCATTTTATTCACTAGCAGCTTTTTAGGATGCAAGCACATTCAACTTTTGAATGATTGCAAAAAAGACAAGGCTAAAATTTACCAGGCAAATCAGTACATGTACGTTGCAAAATGCAGTTTTAATGGAAGATTCATTGAAAAAAATTGGAAGAAATTTTAATTATTTTAAGATTGTTACTAAGGTACATATTACTTTAAGTCATCATGCAGATGTTTTACCACCAAAGATCGAGTCATGTTATCCTGGCATCAAGCCAAAGCTGCACTGAGCTGAGGTGTACTAACTTGATTTGGATGCAAAAGACAAAAAAACAGAGAAAGAGAAAAAGAAAGAAAGGAAACAGAATGGTTATCAACACATAAGTAAGTAACCTGGAAAAAACACCTCAATTACGGTAGCACAGTTTTCATAGTAAGTACCCATGGCTTTCAACACTGTAGAAAGAACTACCGCCATTATAAATAAGCTACACCACACTGCAGCTTATTTTTAGTGAAAAAGGTACATGTATTGTTCTGTTTCAAAACTGAAGATGGATCACAAACACTACAATGGATGCTACACCTCTTTTTCTCTTGGTTAAAACTAACCGAAAAGTAACGCAACTTGAATGCAGGAAGATGCATCTACAACTGCTTTTGATAACAGAATCATTCATTGCAGTGTACCAAAAAGTTCATGTTAGTTCTACAAGTCATTGTATGTTGGTGTTTAAAGAGTTTCATACAGGTTGAGAGCATGGATACTGCAAACAAAAAAGGGAAAAATAAATAATAATTTATTATACAAGATTAGAATACACTGTTAATCCATGCCATCATGGAAGTGCCAATATTAACAACACAACTTCAACCAACTGACCTTCTCCAGGACCAACATCAAAGCCACGCTTTCGTCGTCTTCTCTGATTACTATCACTTTCAACATTGACTTTGTCATCAGACTGTTCATCAACCTATTAAAGCAATGATTGTGTAGAAAGTGTCAAGGTAAAGATAAGAAGTGTAAATATCGCTAAGGTTGAATTACTAATACAAAGCGGCGAACTCTAGGGAACACCAAGTTGCTTTAATAAGGTTGGCCGCTTGATAGATGTTCTGTTTGCAGTGATTTACTGAATATCTTTAATAAACCTGCTACTTTTAACACCCTATAATATACAACCTGCATAGTTTCTGTGGTATGCACTATCTTTGCCTTAACAAAGCAGCAATTTATAGCAATAATATATAATACAATGCAGCAATTTATAGCAATAATATATAATACCACATCAATCAGTAGTGATGGAAATCAGCTGAGATTTTATCATCAATCATCGGAAATAATCAGACTGACCCAACCGATCGATCACTGATTATAATCGGAAAATCTACTGTGTATTGATAAAAAACTCGGCCGCAATGTTTGTTGTAGACAACATAGAAACAAGACGACGAGGAGAGGACCCCAGGAACCAACTTGAGATTCACTCAATCTTTGTTTTTATCTGTTTTGCTTTCATCTACTCTTGTAACCTTTCTGATCGCAGTAAGTGGATCTATAAATGTATTTTACAGCCAGCTACTAATTTAGAATAATTTCTACAAGAACCATTGAGGTAAGTTTATTCCATATGAAATATGTGAACAAAATACAAAATACAAAACCTAGTCTGGTGCGAGCGTGTTTCGCCGAGTTTTGGAAAACATTAAAAATATATGAAACGTAGGAGAAAGAGGTATTCAGGGGAAGCTGCTGTTACAAGTCGATTAAAATGTACATACAACACAAAATTTTTTCATGTTTTTATTTGTGATCAATAATTTTTTTCACTTGTCCGCAATAATCGATTGTCATCATCCATAACCGATTGTCGCGTCGCTTAACAATTTTCGATCAATGATCAATTATAATTGATGATCAGCACACAACTATCAATCAGTTAGAGGAGAGACAATCAAGCCATCAAGTCGTTACTCTTAATTCCTAGCTATGGTCTAAGAAAACACGGATGATGAATTTTATGAGCTGAGAAAAGAATCTTGCAGTCAGCTTACCTACGAAAGCTAACTTAGTGCAGATAGAAAAGTTTGCATTCACAAAAAAACAAAACAAAAAACAAAACAAACAAAATAAAACAAGCAACTAACTCCCCACTTCTCTAATTTACAAGGCTTTCTAATTTTACCGGGACATTCAGGGTTACCAATAATTTTAATTTTCTTTTATCCCATGCAAGGGAAAAATTTTGAACAGTGAACATCGTCAGATCGTTCCAATCAATAGTCAGATCGTTCCACCATTGTGTGAATAGTTCTCACATCGTTCCGCAATGCATGGTGAAACCAACATACAACGTTCTCACCAATATGTAAATATTTCTGAAAATACTTTCGTCCATGTTCCGATTGCTACTCTGTACTCGGATAACATTACACGTTTAGAAAGTAGATAAAACATGTGGAACGAACTGACTATTTTATGGAACGATCTGACTACTGATTGGAACGATCTGACCATGGAACGAAATGACCATAAAACGTGAACTGCAACCAAATAAACAATGCTCTTTGAGCTCACTGAACTGCTAGTGTTCACCTTTTACTTACTATTAAACTACTTCTTAAATGTATCACTTTTCTACTGTTAAGTTTAGTTAGTGTGAAACAAAAGTCAGCTACATTGTTTCGACGATAAACATCGCCGTGCAGCCGAAGTCGCCGTCATAACCACGTCCATTTCTTGAATTTCCATTTTCTCTCAGACGTTAACGTTGTATGTGGAACTACAACTGAAATGTGCTTTGATCATCTGGAGTTCCATATACAAGTTTTATTTCGAGTCTAAAGAAAAAGCTGGACAGAAATAAAGCGGAAGCTGAACAAGACATCTGTAACCTCGCATATTAAATTAAGCTTAAGTCAATGCACAATGTGCACACAAGTGTCGCAAACAATTTCATTGAACATTTTATAGAACTCTTGCTAAACGAAAGCTGTAAATCCGAAAAAAAAACTCAGGAACAAGTAGTATTCTTTGGATTGATACTTCAAAGTATTAAGAAAACGTAGAGTAAACCTACCTCGCCATTCAATTTTTTTTCTTGCGTTAGAACAGCAACAGCCGCCGCCATTATACTACTCGTGATGGCTGGAAGTGAAGCACTCTGGGATGGGATCAGTCAGCTCCTTTGTTTGGGACTATTGTTTGATCCAATCCTATCCTTTGTTATAAAATAGAAATACATTTGTAAAAGCTCCGATTATTGGTCACAACTTAACCAATCAGAATTCTTGTAGCATTTCACTTCACTTTCCCTCACAATTTCCGGAAGAGAAAATGGCGCTGAGCGGGCGCTTGGAAGTGTTGTTACGGGTGCCATTTCTTGTCCTTTTGGAGTGGCTTTTGTGCTTGGATATAAAACAGTACAGTGATTTAGTTCCTTATGGAAGAATTTTTCAGCTAACTGGTGAGTTAGATGTAATTTAGGTTTGTCGCGGTGGTGATTCTGCTGATCACACTTCGTTGTCGTACATACTGAGTGAGAAAAACATCGATTTGTTGATTTCGACATGGACTTTTAATGGCGCTTATTGTTTAGTAATGTGTCTTAAATACGTAACATTTTTCAAGAAATGTTTGTCTTAAATTCACGGTTACTCTCACCGTGAACGAAGCAAAAGATAACTAATGTCGCTTATTTAAAGCTGCCTCAATTGCCTTGATAACTTACTGTTTTAACTTAATTTAAGCTGATCTTTTAATGCAGGTCTCCCTATTTTGAATACCCCCATCACCACCACCACCACGCTGGGGGGATATGCGCCCTTGGGGAATTGTGATTTGAGTATTGTTTGATGTCTCTATTGCCAATGAAACAAAATAATTATCAAGGCTTTGTCCAAATGTTCCCACATTTGATGAGAGTAGACGTTGTGAATGTTTTAAACTCTGTCATGCATGCGCATGGATTTTGTTTCTTGTTGAGGAGAAATTGTCACAAAATCATCACAGCATTTCTGGTTTTTCTTGAAATGCTTTAGTAGTTTGAGCAACTCTCTCCAATTTGGTATACTCACGCATGCGTAGTGTAACTTTGTTGGATCATGTTTACTGCAGGTAGCCTCAACCGATATGTTGGTCGATATATCGGTCAATAATATTATTGGTTGACAGTCAGTTGACAGTCGGTCAACAGTTGGTCGAAAGTCGGTTGACAGTTGGTTGACAGTCGGTTGACAGTCGGTCAACACACTGGTCTAGATATATGTCGGCCGATATAATTATCTTTTAGCTCACCGATACCTTGCCGACACTTTGCCATTACTTCACCTATTATTTAGCGAGTATCAGTCGACTATCAGTTGATATATAGGTTGATAATCGGTTTATACTTGTCCGAGTTATCACTCAACATCGGTCAATAGTCATAACATGGCCAATCAATATATCGGTCAAGTTGTTTGTCAGTCTTTATAGTTTTCAGTCTGTTGCCAATAGTACTAAAGAAAAAGAAAATAGAAAAAAAAACCGAAATATTGAACAATTTGCAACCCTCCAGGTTAAATTTTTCCTTTGGTGGCCATTTGGCGACCAACTCTTTTGGTTTAGTCATCAAAAGATTTTTTTAGGCACCAAATATGTATATTAATAATTAGAGTTTTAATAATTGGTTAACAATTAGTTTGGGCTTAAGAATGGTATTGTTCAGCCAAAACAATGTTTCTAAATGGCATTTACCGGTATTTACGGTATTTGATCTATAAATCAATCTGTAGTTTTTTATCAGCCATTAAACTCATCACCAATAGATGAGCTTGGGCGTTGGTGGCTACAAAGTTGGTGGAGCCGGGCAACGCTCTAGCATGAGGAGGAGGTACCGGTAACACTTTGCGAAGAACTGCAAGCAAGCAACTGCATATATAAGTCACGAGGTGCCCCTAATAGAGGCATCGGGCCACCCCTAGTATCGCTGGGGAGACTGCTGACCAGCATTGCTTCGAGGTTAACTTTGCCTAAATTACATTTAGCCACATAAAAAGACAAACAAAAATACCACTTGGGAGATTGCAATAAATATCTTTTGCTTTATTTTTGGTTAAGACCATAATAATTAGCAACAATAGTTGTTTTTTATGAAGTTTAGATTCATCTGGTGAAAAGGTTGTGCTGGTCTGCAATGGTCACTTTCTAGTATTTTAAAAAATGATTCAACATTTCATGTTACACAAATTTATTCTAAAATTTTCTTTGCCGACTTTGACTTTCTGCTTTTCCATTTATTTTAACCCCAAAAATATATATTCATTTGTGTTGTAATAGTCTTTCCAGTTTAGCCACACACGCAGTTTCCAAGGGAAAGTTATGAAAATCAAATCGACTGCGTGCCAATTGCTACGTGTTACAAGGTTAAGAAAATGTCACGTGCTAGGCAACTAACTTGAGCTCAGTGGAACAGAACAATATTTTAGGAGAAATCTTAGCAAAGCAAGCGTTTGTTTGACATCTTCTAATCTTCTCCCTCTGGGATATCAACAGAGGACCTTATCATTTCAGTACAATTCAGACAATTGATTATCTGTTTCATTTCCTCAAGTATCAGTTTTCTGTGGTCACCAACTTGGCGACTGTTTTCCGAATCAAGTCGCCAGTACCAAAATTTTAGTCGCCATGGCACCTAAAGTGGTCGCAGCTTGGAGAGATGATTAATTTATTCAAAAAACAACAGTTTTGATTTTTTTGAGTTTTGAGTTTTTTGACAGAGATGTAAGGGAAAAGGAAACCCTTAAGTGGCCTTAAGTAACAGAGTTATTTAACCCATTGACACATGGTAATTATTGAAAAGCTGCACATTTTTTGGACATTTTCTGGTCAGTTATGAGTCAAAATTACTCAAAATGAAACATGAGAGCATGCCTTTATTTGCACCTGCATCCCATTTTGTGACTTTTTATCCACCGGCATACAGAAAAGTTGAACCCAACCTCTTTAGACTTGTCCCGTTTTTTTTTGCTTTTCTTGTCTTCAGCTGCTGTTGTTAACTTTCTGTTGGGCTCTCTATCAGTTCAAGAGTTTTCGAGAAAGCATTATCCAAATGGGAAATTCTTACCAAGGGATAAGAGAACATGTAGACACATGATTCAAATGCGAAAAATTTGCTGTAATAGTTCATGCTATTGAAAAAAAAAAAAGGAAAAAAGGCATTACGTTATGGCACTGAGCTGTAATTGAATGTAACACAAATAATATTGTTACAGCACAGGTTGAAATTTCGCTTGCCATGTTTTCATTACCATTGTTTACAGGTCTTGATTTCATAACAACCACCACGAGTTGACACATTTTCCTATTTTGGCAAGCTTATGATCCGCCTGTGTATCTGCTGACGAC